AATTATCAAATGAAGTGTTAACAGAACTATGGGGACTTGTTGATACAAATTAAAAAGGTTTCTTATTTAAAAATGAATATATTGTTGCCATTCATCTAATTTCTTGTTGTAGGAAAAATATCCCATTACCTAAATAGTTGCCAGATTCTCTTTAAAGATTAATTGGTAAAAACTAACCTCAAAATTCTCTTATACCTAAAGATATTAAAGTATAATATGAAGCTCCTTAAATATCTCAATCTTCAGATTCTAGAGTTTAATCAGGTTAATAAGTGTAGTAATAATAAAACAATGAATTTCAAGCATTAAATATGTAATAATAATAACTTTAAAATCAATTAAATTAATTAGTTATGTAATTTTCATAAAATTCTAATAATTAAGCTTTAAAATTGTTGATATAATAGAAAGAAAATGATATCGAATTTTTAATTTAATAAATGAATAAATTATAATTAATATTCAATAATTTGAAAACATAAGAATAAGAACTTCAAACCGAAATACAGAAATGCCAAACAAAATCATAAATTTAAAAACCAGCAATTCAATAATAATAATAATAGATTAATTATTAATAATCAATATTTTAACCTCAATAATAACATCCTTAATAATAATAATATAATGAGATTTCGAATATGAATTACTCTCCAAATTTAAATATAAATAATAATAATTATCCCTCTTTATCTGTTGATAATACAAATCATCAAGTAATTTATTAGTTAAAAGATGGATATGAAAACTATTAAAATTAGAATAATGGAATCTAGGATATACCATGGTGAATAAAATATCATAAATACATTTAATATCTAAACAAATCAAATTGGTTATCATTTATTTAAGTAGCTATCTTTGTTTATTTAAATCATTTCTTCTGCCTTCATTATTAAAATTATTTTTTTCTAGTTTATATGCATCAATTTAATGTTATAGGTAATTATTATTTTATCTATATAATTTATAATAAAGTATTAGTATAATCAAATTATTTCATTTTTTATTTAAAGTCTTGAGAATATTTAATTAAATTGTAATTTTAATATTATTTCTAAATAATACTAAAGAAATTGATGGCTTATTATTATCAAAAACTCATAATTAATTTGAAATAATCTTAGTATGTTAATAACCTTATTTTGGATTTCATCATATAAAACTTTTTGCCTTCATAGTTGAAATTAATTGAATATTAAGTTGAGAATCATTTTTTCAAATTAAAAAAGTAACAGTTATAATTTGGAAGTATTTTCTTAAGTAATTTAATTCTAAAAGTATTTCTTTTTGTAGAGTATTGTTAAATGTAAAAATAGGAAAGTCTTATCATACTCAATTCAATTATAATATTTTAATACTATTATCAATAAAATTTGCATAAATTTATATTCTAAAAAATAAAAGTAATTATTAGAATTGTTTAAGTTTATATTAATAATCTATGAATAAGTATAATATTCAAGCAGAAAAGCTTATAGAAATATTAATTTTATTTAATTTTTTAAGTTTATTTATTTTAAATTTAAATTCAAATGGAACATTAAAATTATTGCACAACAGAAAATGGAGTTAGAGTCTGCAATGTTAGTTCTACATTACCTAATTGTGCAGCTGAAAATATTCTGATCTAAGAAAGGAAAGTATGATATCAAATTGAATTTTTAGGCATTGTGGATGTCATTAGCAGGATTACCTTAGTATATTACATTGGATTTGTCTTAAGTGCAAGAAAGACCAAAGTTTATCAAATGTTTTGGGTTTGATTGTTGGCATGATTATTAAAGCAATCCATCAGTCATTGAATTAATGGTATCACTAAATGGTGAAAATTTTATTACATGGACTACTTTATATCCTGAATTGAAATAAGGAATATAATTATTTTAAATCGATCCTTTAGGAACTAGATACTAGTTTATTAAGATAATTATAAAGGAGACTTTTGGTGCTTCTAAAACTTATTTAAATTAAGTATATTTGCTTGAAGAATATGCAATGATAAGTACAGAGAGTGTAACTGAATCTTAGCAATAAACTGAGAATAATAATAGTTAATATAAACAATAATTTGAAAAAGAGGAACTTGAACATCATGAAAGATCAGATAGAATGGATAGATTTGATAGAATAGATAGAAATGAAAGAAATGAGAAATAAGATATGAAAATAAATGAATATCATGATTTAGCACAAAAGATTCATAGTATGGGAAGAGAAGTTGCTAGTTTAAAATAGAGTCATTAATAAGGAAAATCAAGTTAATCATAAACTAAGTAAGGGTTTCATAAAAGTAATATTACAGAAGAAGTACCAGATTCATTTTAAAGATTAACTTCAACAGAGAGAATGGTTATAGATATTTAGAGTAAGAATTTGAATGAGATTAATATATTAAAAAAGGAAGTTTAAGATTGGAAAGATAAATGTGAATAATTAGAGAGTCAAGTTTAGAGATTATTTAAATTGGTTACTCATATTAAAGAAAAATAATAAGAATAAGAAGATTCAATACATAAATATATATAATAAAATTAAAGTGAAGTTAGTTTTGATGCCAATAAAAGATAAGTATATAATAATAGTTAAGTAACTCCATAATAAACTTAATAATCTTAATAAATGACTCCAACACAATAACCTTAACAATAATAACATTAAATAAATAAGTTTGAAGAAGTTATTGATAAAAAAATAAGTGAATTATCTGGTAATTTCTAAACATTATTTTAATAATAAGAATCAAAATTTAAGAATTAATAAAAAGAATTATTTAAAAGCTTCAAGGATTTCATTTATTAAGAATAATAATAAGAAAAGTATAAAGATTATGAAAAAAAGAAACCAGTTTCAAGAGGAAGATAAAAAGAGAAATCTGTTTCAAAATCTTCATCAGTTAAATCATCACATAGTTCTTCAAGTAGTTCAATCATAAATTTCATAAAGTCAAAAAAAGTTTATTCAAAATCAAGATAACATTCAAAATCACATCTTAAATCATAGCCTAGATCTAGATCTCCTATGGATTCTAAAGAAAATGATAGATATGAGAATAATAGATTATCTCCTAAACAAAGAAAAGTGGCTAGCTTATTGGGTATTTTGTAAGAGAAATTATAAAGAAGAGTAAATTTATATAATTGATAAATTAGGCTAAAAAAATAGAATAATTAAACTTATCTTAAAGAAAAACAAGGAAGAGAAGTAGCATATAGAATTCAATAGATAAATCTAATTCATCTGATTATTGATATAATTAATTTATGCTTAATAAATTATTCAGAGTCCTAATTCCTTAAAATTAGGGTTTGGTCTAGAATATTCATTAGTTAAGAAGTATCTATTATTTAAATATATATAATATATACTCTGGGAAATACTTTTTAGCCAATCCATAAGATGCATTCATTCTTACACATAATTAAAAGTAATTTCTCGCATCTAGACATTCTGGTACATATGAATCTTCGAAAAGACCAAATTAATTTTTGCAATGTTAGGCCATTCTGTCATATAAATGACAAGCCAATAATTGATTAGCCTTTAATTTTTTATTTTAGAGATTACTTTGTATTCAACAAACTCAAATTTCAAATTATCCAATAGTTTAACATGATTCTTGGTCAAAGTTTAGAGATTAATCATGTTTCTGAACATGAAATCTACAGAATAGATTTAACTTTACCTTCCTCCTCCCCAACTTCATTATAAATTGGCATTAATATTAATTGTTATATCTTCTATAAATAGTTCCTACAAATTAATAAAAACCATGAAAATTAATAATTTAGATAAATCATTCAAATCTATGGAGCTCCTCCATATCCTACTCCTTAATTCTAGAGTGGTCCTTATTAAATATTTTAATTCTATAAATTTGCTCTTGTGATATTCAAATCGATCATCATATATCTAATTTGTCTAGCATATCTGATAAACATTCCATAACAAATGACTACTATAATAAGGGATACTATAAAAAATATTAATCTTAATGATAAGAATGATTTGATACCCAACACTCCTTCTATTCTCTTTCTCATCCTTTGTATAGTTATCTTCTTCATAATCATCCTCTTCTTCATCATCACTATAAGTGGCAAATATAATGATTGACCCTATAATTTCAAATACTAAAGCTATGACCAATAAGACTTAGTAATGTAATAGAAGTCTTTCCACATATCTACTAATCGAATAAATTCCACATATTGCTCCAGTAACAAAAAAGAAATCACTTTAATTAATAGAATATAATTACGAAATAATGTACATGACACCTGCAGCTACTTCTGATCCTCCTTGTTAAAATGCTGCCACACATCTAATAATTAAAAAGATCATTGCTAGAACACCAATACAGCAATTACATCCATAGAAACTAAGTTTTTATTAATAGCTTACTATCTGGTGTATGATCGTAAAGCCATTTCTTTGGCAACAATAGGATTAATTGGTTAAACAGCTACAACAAGAGCGGTTTGAGGAAGGACGACCATTTGTTATTAATAGCCATTTCCATACTAAACTCTTTAAGGATATTAGGCATATTAAGCATATGGTTATTGAGGATATTGTATTTGTGTTTAGGGGTTATATTAGTACCTAATATTTGTTTAAAGAATATACTATTGTTGGACAGGTTATCCAATTACCGGCTATCCTTAAATTGGTTGATATTAATATCCACCTTAAGGAGGTTATTGATATTATCCTTTGTCACTTAGATACTCAGCATTAATATTTCCTTGTTAGTATTGCATTAGAAGTTATTTAAATTATATATATATTATTTTAATGTAAAATAATATTCTCTAAGATAAATTATTATTTCTTTTTTATTATAATATTCTCCTAGCATCTACTATTAAATTAGAATTTTGAATGGAATGATTAAAATAATTTATTGTTATTATTATTATGGTTTCCTAATATTCTCAATATTAATTGATAATGTATTTTACAATTTTTTAAAAATATTTTTGAAAATAATTATTTATATGTGTGATAAAAGGAAAAGGTTTAACTCAGCTTTGACATTTGAAGAATTTATTGATTATCATAATCAATTACCAGAAACACCTTAGCTTAAGTAAGATTCATCTTTAATATTTAGACCAATTAAGCAGTGTACTTTCTCTATACCAGAATTAGATTTAACAAATGATGTCTCTCAAACTTAGTTGAATATTCCTTTATAAACAATTTTCGAAGAAGAACTTAATAGTCCTAAAGAAATAATAAAAACAAAAAAGTTAATAAGAAAAAGATAAAGGTTCTTCAGTGAAAATTCTCAATACTCAGTAATTAGTATATTGGAGAGAAGACTATAAAGATAGAAATCTTCTATTCCTACTATTTTTGAATTATGATTCCACTCTCTCAAACAATCATGATTTGATATTTGCGTTTACATTAATAATAATATAGAGTTAAATTTCATTTCTATTTCTTCTAAAAAATGTCATGATTCATTTTTGATGGATTAAAAGCATTTTTTAATAAACCCATTCTATCAGAAAGACTATCTAATAAGAATTCATCCTCAAAAACTCCAATGCTTTCTCTTTTTGGTTATTAACCAGGAGATTAAGTAAAAATATCTGACTTTTCTAAGATAGTTGGAAGAGTAAAATCCTTAAAACTTTTTTATTTGAATAATTTCTCTTAAACTTTCATTTTAATAAACCATTCATGATTCATAGCAATATTAGGTTTAATTCTTTATTTAGGTTCAACTTATAGCATTTATTTTAACAAATCAATGGCATAAGAAGTATTTCTGACTTAAGGGAATTCAATTTAGCCTGTTTTATTATCGTTCTAAGCCTTATAATAATCAATACATGTTCTTACGATTCACTAAATGGCATCACTTAATATATAAAGTAATAAAAAATAATTCCAACTGCATAAATATCAATACTTTGATCATAAGGCTTCCCATTCAATAACTCAGGCGATTAATAACTAAGAATCTAAATTTCAATTAAATTTACCCCTCACTTCCTTTGATTCCCTTTTCTTAATTATCTATAAATTCAGCTTAATTAAAATTTGCCAAACATATATCCATTAAATTATCAGATTTCACATATATATTCTCCAATTTTATATCTCCATGAATAATTCCCAAAGAGTGAATACATGATAAAATTTCTAATAATTTATATATTATTCTTGCATATTATGGTTCTTAACTATTTAATAAATCTTCAAATCTATAAACCATTTCAGTACCAAAATAATTATCAAAAACCAAAAATATTGTATATTAATCTTCATATACTTCTACTAAATTGATGATATTTTTATGTTTGATTCTTCTTAAAATGTTAATTTCTTGTTGTATTTATTTAGGATCAAATTTGTTATTTTTTTATATTACCTTCACTGTATAATTAATATTATTAGCAAAACACCTTGCCTAATATATTTATGTCTAAGGATCTTGATAACCTAATCTCTTATTCAATTTATAATCTTTACTAAAGTTTAACTGAATTGTATATCTTTTCAACATATTAAACCAATTATCCAAATCAGCACTTCTATTAAAAAAGATCTCTGTATTATTTTTCCCTTATACTAACTTTATTGTTTGAATATTTCTTCTTATTATTGTTTAACTTAAATTACAAAACAATTATTAAATTTGCAATCTTAATAAATTCTAACAATCTACCTATCAGCATATAATGAAACCTATTCTTCATGTAATTGTTGATCATCACTTCTAATCCAAATAATTCCAGAATAAATGAGATGTTGACTCAGATGATTCAATTATAATTTTTCTAAAGGTTACCATAGAATAGGATTGAGATGTGCTATTTATTACTTTTTTTATTGTAACATTGAATGTCTAACTAGTTTTTTTTATTTTTGTGAGAGTATTAATAATTAAAAATTAGTTTTCAATAAAATCAATAAATCATAAGATGGTACTAAATATACAAATAAGTCAAAAATCTCACATCATTTATTAATCTTAGTATTCAAATAACACAGGATCCATATATTATATATATTATTCTTCTATATTCAAATTAATTAATTCTGAAATTGATCTAACCATATATAACATTATCAAATTATTCTTTTTTTTACTTAATAATTTATAGAACTTATTTTTATTTTATATAAAGCTAATCAACAGCAAAGATCTTATTTTATAAGTCATTTATAAATATTCTTTATACTAATAATAAACACTGGTTATTTTTGAAAATTTCTTCATTATTTTTTACTTATTATAAAGAGAAAAGAATTGATTTCATAATATTATAAATGTAGAGGATGGAATTATCTATATTTGAATTTTAAAAATTGATAAACATTTTAGAGTATTGATTCCATTAACTAGATATTATGATTTTTTGTAATTTAACAATTATATTATTTTTATAAATTTTAGAAATTGATTTTTTCTAACAGACTGCAATCTAAGTTGTCTTTCTAGAATATTATTATTATAGACATTCAACATTAATTAAAATATATTTGGAAAACTTTTACTCATTTCTGTTTACTGTTATTTCTTTGATAATATAATATTGTCTTTTAAATTCTTTTAGTTGATTAGATCTATAAAAATATATATATTATTATCATTATCCTAAGAAATTTTTGTTTGTGTCATTCGGTATGTCATCGATTTCTGATGTTACTACTGCTAATAATTGAAATGTCATTACAATATAGTTACTATGATGTTATTTAAAATATTTAAGAATTGAATGAAATACTTTTAGTTTTTTTATTGTGGATTTAAGATATATTTATAAACAACTTCTCAGATAAATCAATGAATTCATTAATAAGATATAGAATAACTTAATTTAATAATTAATATGAGTTTCTTTGTACAACTTAATTTAAATAGTATTAAAAACGAGTCTAATTAGATATTTAAGTGGGAATCAATTATAATTATTATAATATGTGTCCAATGAATATGTCTCATTTCCTAATTATAGTAGTTCGATTAGATTCATATATAGTTCATGTCGTAAAATAGGTCATTTAAACAAATAATAGAAATGTAATTCAATGCAATTTCTATTATAATAAGGGGATGAACAATATTAAATAAGTAGTAGATGTATGGAGAATATCAAAAGATAAGTTAATTTGTATATTTTATATTATCTGATAATAATCACATCATCAGATCAAAATTGCAAAATTGGGATCAATGTGAAGAGAACTATAAAAATATGATTTATAAACATACTTCACTTTTTTAGGATTTAACGAGCCAATAAAGTCTTAAATTATAATAAAGGTCTTGGATTGTTAAAATCGATTCTCTCTGTAGTCAAGGTAAAACAATTTGTAATAGAACTATTATTTTTCGAAACTTTTATGGTTTCAGGCGTAACTATATTCATAACTGATATTTGGTAATATTTAATTATTATTAATTTTCATATACTCTTAGATATTTCGCTCGTTTATTTTGTCAATAAGAGTAATATTAAATCTGAATGTTTTTTACATTGATTTCATCTACAATCTTGGGTAATTTTGACTTTTCTCTTGGTCTAATCAAATTATTTCATTAATATGAAAATTTTTTTGGAATAATTAAAATTGAATTTAAGTTAACCTTTATAATACTTTATTTTAAGAGAATTTCTTCAATTTCATACAATAAAATTGATTTTATAAATTAAATCACACTTTAGATTTTGTTTTATTTTATTTTATAAAATTGAAAGTATGTAGTAATATAAGAGTAGGATTTTGTATTTTAAAAAACCATATTTTAAATGAATTGAGGAATTTATATCATTATACATAAATGAATATTAAATTTTGTTGTTTAATTGTTTTCTACATCTATTTCAATAAATAGTAACTGCATGAATTACTAATATTAATTGAAATGAGTAAGTTCTTTACTAAAATAATGATTATCATAAATATTTCTGAGGTTAACAAAGATTTATTTGAGCAAGATAACTTAAATCTTAAAGTAAATTTTCTTTCTTCATATTTCTTGGATTAGTTAGAATTGGTTTTTAAATAAAAAAATACTACAATATGTATCTATAGTAATTTTAAATACAATTAGTAATGTAAAAAAGATGTAAAATTCCTATTTCATATATTAATAATAATAAATTTCATTTCAATACAGAATTTTTATAATGTTATAAAATTGAAATCTAATTTAGTTATCATAATTATATTGCTATTATATATTAGAAGATGATTTAAATTTATATACTCATTTCTTTCAAACTTTCAACTAATATATTATTTTTATTACATTATTCTTATATAATTTAATTTATATTGAAACTATAAACACGCGTGAATTTAATAAATAAAATCTAAAATAATTAAGGAACACAAATGGTACTTATATATTATAAACCTTTAGCCATCTGCTCAAACCATGAAATTGAGAAGTTAAAATTATCAAGGAAATATTAACAAATAAGGAAAAGTTCCTAAATCTTTGATTGTAATCAAAATTAATATTTCTAATAGAAAAAAGAAGAAAATCTTCCTGTAGGTCCAATTCTTTTAGGTGTATTCTTGTTTGTGGTGGTTGGTTCTGGTAAATTATGAAATAAAAGATTTTAGCTTTATTCTAAATACTTAATGTTGCTTCAAGTGGATAAGAAATTTGATATATATTAGTGCTTAATCAATTTTTAATATAACAAATGCAAATATACAATCTAATGCGAAAATCACTATTATTTCAATATATTCTTGTAAATATATAATATTTACTGTCATTTTCATCAATAAACTAATCTTGTTTAATGAACTGATTTTTTAATTAAAACAAAATTACATTTTATATTCTTAAAAAATTTATATAATTACTTTGATTGTATAAATGTCTAATCTATTTTAGTTTATATATATTTGATAAATTCATTCAAATAATAATAATAAGTTAAGTAATATTAGTTTTATTAAAGATAGTTATTGAATTATTTATTTGAATAGATTGTAATAGTATTTAATTTATATTAAATTATGTTATTAGAATTGTAAATTATATATTTTATTTTTGAGTTTTTCTATTATAAATTTTATTAATTCGAGACATGATGCAAGATTAATATTATTTTTATTTAAGATCAAATGTATTATCCATACTCAATTGAAGAATCAGATGAGAATGTATCAGGTGATATTTTTAATTATGAGATGGATTTGAATTAAGATGAAAATTAGATTCAAACTCATTCATATTATACTCCAAGTCATTCAGTTTCATCATAGTATGATGATGATGAAGAAGAGGAATATGTCATTGATTAAAGCCGAATATTTAATTTAGCAGAAGTCAAAGTATTTTTGGATGAAGTTATTTGTCCAATATGTTGCCATATAATAATTGCTCCAAAAATATGTAAAGAATGTGATCAAAGCTTTTGTAGTAGATGTATAGAAAAATGGTATTTTAATAATGCTAAAAAATTTAGGTTCCAAAAAAGTTCAAATCAATAATGTCCTTGTTGTAGAAAGAGTTAAAACTATAAGAGCAATTTTTATTTCAATAAAGGAATTATGGATGGAAAAGTACCAAAAGTGCTACTCAAATTATTGAGTAAAATACTATTAACGTGTAGATATAGCGTATATATTTTTTAAATAATTAGTAAGAAGGATGTGAAGAAATTATCACTTATGATTTTCGTGAGAAACATGAGAATAATTATTGTTAATATTAGGAATAGGATTGTCCAAATCATGGTTGTTATGAAACAATGCTTCGTAAAGATTTAGAAGAACATTATTTAGAATGTAAATATGGAAGTGTTCAATGTAAATATTGTTCATAGGATAAATTAAGAATGGATATAGAATCACATGTATTTACTATTATAAATTTAGTTAGAACAATGTTATTGTAGACCTATTTTATGTGAATGGTGTTAAGAAGAATATTAAGCTATTGATTTTGATAAACATTATGAGTAATGTGATTGTAAAGAAATTTATTGTCGACATTGTGGGAAGTACTATAAAAAATATTAAATGGATGTTCATACTCCAGAATTTTGTCTTTAAACTCTTTACTAGAATAGTCTTGTTTTACTTAAACAAAAAGATCAACAGATAGCTGAATAATAAAAATACATTGAGTTTTTGGAGTCTAAAAAATTAATTGAATAATCTGATTTAAATTAATCAACCAATGAAGTCTTGAGTGAAAAATATAAATAAGATTTTGAAGAAGAAGTTGAAGAAATAATAGAGGAAGATATACAAATTGAAGAGAGTGACTAAGAATAAATTGAATAAGTTGAAAAAGATAATAAAAATTAATTATCTCAAGTAGAAGAAAATTAAAATTTAGATAAAAAATATGTAGAATAAAATTAATATGATTTTGTTGAAATTCAACCTATTTAAGATATTAGAATGGGGATGTATACTTAATTTTTATAAAGATTGAATGACACTTAATTAACAGACTTTTTGGATTGGCCAGATGATGAATTTAATACAGTAATCGATTGGTTTAAATGAAATACATATATTATTATTATTATTATATATATATATATATTTAATATAAGATGATGATGATGATTTCAACATATGATTCCAGTGAATGCTTATAAACATCCTACTCCTTTTTGACAATGATCATCACTTCTGCAACATACATATGTATTTGTTCTAATTTCACAATATGAACCTCCCTTCACTTCGCAATCATTACAGTTCTCCTTTCCTAAAAAAGTATGAATTTTAGCTTATGATTCTTATCCAACGAGATTTGGTTCAGCTAATACTAGCGATATTAATAACAAGGCAACAATGACTTTCATTATATAAGTCGTTTTTCTAATTATTAAAATAATATTAAGTTTGTATAGAAATGTAATAATAAATCTATACTCATTCTTGATAATATATATATATTCTCTAAGTAATGTGAAATCTCTGACATATATTTAGTATTGTTACTTCCATTAATCCACTTCTAATCCTTCTTATTATAGATTTATTTATTTTAACTTAAAAGATCATCATATATCTGATTAAATGTTAATAGTGTTTATTGAATTATCTCTATTTTATCGCTATGCAAAGAGAATCATGATATTATCTTATTAAATCTAATCAAAAGATAAACATAAAATATCAAATAAATATGATATCAGATTAATTACGATAAGTTCTATCCAATAATACTCCAAATATTATAGGACCTTAACTTTCTCGAAAAACTGTTCTTTTGAAAAGAAAGAATAAGTAAATATGTAACAACACTTTGAATTAAATTCCTCAAAAGATCAATTAGGATGTCTCATCAAAAGTAGATAAGTCATAGAAAACAGATAAGACTGATACAATCACAATTAAATCGAATAGTAATATAGCATCATAAACCTCAAACTCTATCCCTTATATATCTTAGGATTTATTTGATGGTGTTGAAATTCCACCAACTGATCCAATATGGTTAGAAATCATCCCATAAGAATTATTACAAGAAACAACAATTGAAAAATTATTAGAAGACAACAAAGATTATTTTTATAACTTATTAGGATTATATTTATAAGAAAGAGTTATTGGAGACTTGAATATGTCACGTTTAGTTTTACCTTAAAAGTTTTAAACTTAATATTCTAAAGATTTTACATTAAAATCAATCGATAGAAAAATAGGAATTGATTCAAGAATATATGAAGATTATAAATAATACAGTTCACAGAATTAAAATACAACTACTTATAAATAGTACTTTTAGAAACCAATATAAAATGATATAATCCAATCATTCAAACCTATTTCAGATAGAAATGTTCTATCTATGGCATCTCTAACTACATATAAAGTGTTCATTAATTTTGTAATCTTTAGGCTAATCATATTAATTTTAAATAACCTGAAAAACCTGAAATTATGAAAGCACCATCCAATTCCACAACTGGTTAATTGTAATTAAATGGAAATTCCAATTACAATCAAGATTATAAATGGCATTAAAACTATGAAAGATTACCTAATTTAAAAAATAGTTATTCTAAATTGTATATTAATACTCTTATTATAGAAATCCCATATCTAATTCAGATATCTTTTTTACAAAATAAAGAGCCTCAATTGATTATTATCCATTAAGTCCATAATAGAAAACTATATAAGTTCTTCCAACACCTTCTTTTTAAGGTTAATTCATTACTACATTTAAACAGTATATCAAATTTAATAATCTTTTTTAGTGATTATTAATAAATTGATTAAGAACTACTCACACCAAAGATGAGAAATTGGAGATTAAATATGATCAATAAAATTAATACAGTTAGAGAAAGATAAATTTAATAATGAGATATATTTTTTAAGTTAAACTCATAATTATTTTATTTATTTTTTAGAGTTTGTCAGTCTATTTAATATATAATTTAAATCTCTTTCTTGTTTTTATTTTGAATTGATAGTAATTTTTTTATAAAATTAATAAAATATAAAATATGAGTTATTTAGCTTAATCAAGTCGATTAACTGCTCTCCTAATCAGTCTTAAAAATAAGAAATTAATAACACCTGATCAATATACTCGTTTGTGTGATTATGCCATTAATGATAATATTGAATTAAAATCATTATTTGTCGATTATGAAAAGGGTTTGTCTTAAAATGATTTTTTATCTGGACTTTCAATTATACTCAACAATAAGACTGAAAGTGAACATATAATTAAATCTTACTTGTACTCTTATAATCAATTAAATTAGTGAATCTGTTGTCAGTATCAACTAACAATTGAAAGAGAAAATAAAAGAATTTTATAGAGACATCAAGGTATTCTAATTTTGATATCAATTATTTTAGAGTAACATGAATGAAATTTATGAAGAATGTTTTAAAGCATAACATCACTTATAAGAAGTTAAAGATTTAATAAAATTAGTCTTAAAACAATTTTATGTGGAAGAATTTTATTTGATTTAATTTGAAGAAGGACATTAATGTGTTATACTTACTAATAATTTTGATTTTAGATTTTTTAAAGAAGAATACAAAATCAGTTCTTGGGCACATAAACAAAATGCTCATCAATTAAATAATACTCAAACTGAACATTATGCTTTACTTAAAACACATAATCTTCCTAAATAATATATTATATCATAACATGCTGTCCTCTTTTTAACTTTTAGTGATAGTGTTACTAAAACATATTCATAATATTTCATGGCTACATTTCTTTATGATAAATTTATTACATTAATTTATTAAGGATATTAAATTGTAGGATTAAAGAAGATGTAATCAATTAGAACTGAAATTCTATAATTAGTTTCAAAGACAATATTATTATATAATTATAAATTGATGTATCAAATTTTAATTTAGATTATGCAGTAATTTAAATTATAAAATTTATTATGTTAATTTGAAAAAGAATTGACAAAATAGCAAACTGTTACTAATTATTTATTGATATTACTTTCAAGTGATTTAGATATAATTGGTATTGAATTAGAAGGCAATTTATCATTTCAATTAGTAGATAAAGTTAAAAGTACTTTTAAAAAGTCAATTAAAAAATATAAGAAAAAACTCAAATCTAAAAAAGATTTATTGGAATCATTCTAATAAGTTACCTAACATAATGAAATGATTATGTGTTTATTCTTCAATAATTACTTTAATCTATATTATATGACTGTTTAATGGAACCATGATCAATTTGTGTAAATA